CAAAATATATATATATATATATATATATATATATATTTTGTCATTGTATAAAACTATATTAGATATTTAACTTTTTTATTTTATTTTTTCTGGCTCGTCACCTTAATAACTTAGGAAAATGAATATAATTCTAACATACGTATGGTGAAATCCAAATACAAGTTTAGGAATGACTTTTTGGAAGTTCAATTCGTTACAAGATACTGTTTGCTCTTGAATTAATTAAGCATGTCGTATACGTAACTAACACTCATGCATTCATTAAGAAACAAGTAATTCATCGATCTAATTATAATTCGCTTGATCCATCATTAAATCTAAAAGCTACATAGAATAAGCAAACACAAACGTACGAAAATATTATCGAGAAATCAATATAGTATATATGATGTGAGTCATTATCTTCTCATTGATATATGGATTTTTTTTTTTCTTTTTGGTATTGCGATCTAAGTTAAATTTGAGTCACTTTCACTAATGTACATTTTCAAACTGTAGCCTACCCACACCACGCATCGTATGTTTTCTTCTGCTAAATCGATGCTTGAAATTATATACATAATGGATTATTGCACCATAATTAACCATAGTAAAGCTATAATATATTTATGATTTTCTTCAGTGATAATTAATTTTAATTGGTTAGCCTCATTCTAGCTCCAGCTTTTCCCTAGGGAGAAACAGCACATTAACTTTTGAACTGTTATCTTCATAATTATTGTAGTATAGTCTATTTGGATCAATTTCTTATGAATATTTCTAGGAAAAGAAAATAAGAAATGCTTTTTTTTTAAATTAAAACTAACATATATATATATATATATATATATATATATATATCTCTGAAAATTTTAACTTCTCAATTTCACCAAGTCTTATTTTGTCACTTTCAAATATAACCTTTCACACATCTCTTACCTCCATTCTCACAGCATAATCAATTCAAACTTGATTCATTGATTATTCCCAACTCAATTCTCAATTGGTTGAATCTTTCCCTTGGTAGAGGTTTTGTAAAAATATCAGCTAGTTGTTTACTTGTCTCTACAAACTCCACAACATAATCATTCCTTTGAACATGATCTCTTAAAAAGTGGTGTCTTATCTCAATATGTTTAGTCCTAGAGTGCAAAATTGGATTCTTGGTCAGATTTATTGCACTAGTATTGTCACACCTCAAAGGAACTTTGTTCAACTCAACTCCATAATCTCTTAATTGTTGTTTCATCCAAAGAATTTGAGCACAACAACTTCCAGCTGCTATATACTCAGCCTCAGCTGTACTTAAAGCAACACAAGCTTGCTTTTTGCTATGCCATGAAACAAGTGCACTACCTAACAAGTGACAAGTTCCACTTGTGCTCTTTCTATCTAGTCTACACCCAGCAAAGTCTGAATCTGAGTAACCAATCAGACTTAATGAGACTCCTTTTGGATACCAAAAACCAACATTAGTTGTACCTTTCAAATACTTAAGGATTCTCTTTACACTTTTCATATCTTCTTTTCTTCTACACTCTCTGAAGACCGAGGGGAACCCAGAGGAGGAGACCAACCAGATCCTACTCTAGTTTCAACTACTTCTTAATAGGGATGGCAACGGGCGGGGCGGGTACGGGTTTCATGATCCCCGTCCTCGTCCCCGCGACTCAAACCCATACCCGTCCTCGTCCCCATACTCGTTGGGTATGTAAATTTTGTCTCATCCCCGTCCTCGTCGAGTATCGGGTATACCCGTACCCATACCCGTACCTGTAAAATACTAATTTTTTTTAAAAAAAAATATTTTTAACTTATCTTTATGTCATATTATTAACTGAACATCCATCTTCCATTATTAACCCACTTGATGTCCACCAATAGAACAAAATGCTTATAGTAAGGAAGGGTGATTAGTGAATCATGGAAGCAATCAGTTAACAAGACCATAACTTGTGAAAAAAATTATTTATAAGAGCATATACGGACAAAGGGAAAAGAAATCATATTGAACTTCTGGTCAATCAATGATTGCCAAAGAAGAAAACAAACCTCTGCTGCCTTTCCTTGAAAAATTTTGCTAGGAAGAACACCAGTGCGAGTGTACAAACTAATATATTGATTTATCTGCAACCCAAAATAACACATGTAGACATGTCATCCCCAGTTAGACATTTCATATAAAT